CGCTCCGGGCTCAGCCGGCGGGCGGGCGAGCGCGGCGCGGTCCGGGCCGGGGGGATGTCTCGGCGGACTCGCGGGTGAGCGGAGCCGGGCGGGCTGAGAATCCCCCCTATCTCCCCTCCCCCCTCCCACCCCTGCTCCCACCCGCACCCTCGACGTGGCTCCTAGCGGAGCGTGGCGGGGTGGTCCCTTGGGAAATGCTGCGTCCTGGACCGCCCGAGGAAGGGGGCGCGCGCAACGCTGGGAGGGGGGTCTTGGGGGCCCCTAGCTCGGCTCCCCAGGCCTGCTGGGTCTCGGAGCTGGGACGGGCAGGTCTCCTGGGACCCGGGCCAATCCCTGCATGATGTCATTTTGTCTCCCGCCTAATTGCGGGCTGGGGGTGGGACGGCCGGTGTTAGCTGGAAGGGCCTTTACTGGCGAGGAGGCGACCCCTGGAGAGGGAGAGTGATTCTCCCAGTCCCACCGAGTGGGAGGCCAAAGTCTGCGAGTCACTTGTTGGTCAAACCTAGTTTGGGTTCGGATTTGCCTGTGGGCATTTTTTTCAGCATTCGGGTAAGTACAGAGCCCCCCAAGCCGTCTCTCCTGGTCTGGGGAGGGGGCTCTTTTGTGTCCCCAACATGGGTTCTAGGCCCCACCTCGGTTTAGTTTCAGAGGCTTCTCTTCCCGTTTGAGACGAAGAGTTTTGGACAGCTGGGCTTGAAGGTGAGGGGAAGAGAGACTGATGTGTATCATGACCTCTCTGCCAGCAGCCCCTGGGGCAAAGGCAGGAACTGCGGTCTCCATTTTACATAGTCCCCCAGAGAATAAGCGGCAGATTGGAGCCTAGAACCAGGTCTGGGGGTCCCAGGTCTCTTTCTTAACCCTGTGCACTGGGGACCTCAGCTCTGAGATTTTCAGCCAGTTTTCGGGGACCTGACAGTCTTGTTCCCTCCCTAGATCCATGCAACCCAGATAACCTTTAGACCCCTCTTCAGATGGAGTTTTTCTGGTCAGACACTTGTCAGACCCTTCCCTGATTTTTGGTTCAGGAAGTGTTACTCCAATAGTGACTGCCCCTAGACCACCCCCAGGTCCTCTGCCCCTTCTCCCCTGGGGTTCAGAGGAGGAACCCCCTCCCATGTGAGGGATGGGTTCTGCACTTTGGGACCCCTGCAGCCCTCAGATCATTTCTTGGCCACTTGCTCTAATTTTCCTCTGCCCCAGTGTCCAACCTCCTGCTCAGCCCCTGACTTACCCCAGCCCTGGAGCAGAGCCCAGCTCATCGAAGGGCAAAAGAAAGGGAATGTTGGACCAAAATGCAGTTGCCTCTGCTTTTTCAGCTGGGATTACAAGGTGAGGACTTGCAGGTGTCGAGTTAAGGCAGTTTAGAGCCTGGCTTTGTGGACTTGGCATGTGGCATACCCCTTGAGCCTCAATTTCTACATCTGTTAAACGGAGATAATGAGAATGGGTGTGAAGTGGATGGCCAGCACATGTAGATGACAGCAATATATTATGTCACAGAATTCTCACAGCTGTCTGAGATGCTATCCCCATTAAACAGCATTGGAGCATCAGAGAGTGTCCACACAGACACCCCTTGAAGGAACATTTGCTGAGCATCTGTTAGAAGCCAGGCCTTGTGCTGGGTGCTGTAGAAGTAAAGATGGTTTCTGTCAGTGAGGAATCTGGGAACAGTTGATTTCGATGCCAGCTTCATTCTTATTAGTATCTTGTAGATTTTTGCCTCCTGCTTTGTGATGGTGGAGGACCAATGACTGGGGTCAGGAATGACAGGACATCTGTGACCGATGTATTGCTGGGTTTAGACACTGCCTGTCCTACTTCTTTTTTTTTTTTTTTAAAGATGACCGGTAAGGGGATCTTAACCCTTGACTTGGTGTTGTCAGCACCACACTCTCCCAAGTGAGCCAACCAGCCATCCCTATATAGGGATCCAAACCCACGGCCTTGGTGTTATAAGCACCACACTCTCCCAAGTGAGCCATGCGCCAGCCCCTTCCTGTCCTACTTCTAAAATATTTGCTTCAGTTAGCATTTCTTATCAACTAATAGGCAGCAGCTTCACATGTTTATTCATTCATTCATTCATTCATTCATGTATTGGGTCATTCCCTGGGCAAACATTTCTTGAGGCCTTTCGGTGCCAGACCCTGGGATATGGAGGTGGAGCTGACATCATTTATGGATGATGTTGAGGAAATGCATCGTAAGGTCCTGAGACAGGAGGGTTTCCAATGTGCTGTGGGAGTGTAGGAGTGACTCTAAGAAGGGTTTCTTAGAACCCTGTTTTCCAGTGCTGGGTTCTGGAAAACAAGAGGAAAGTGCATGGACACCTCTTCCTTGTTTTGGCCACAAGGCCTGTGCTTGCCTTGCTTGTGTGGAAATCTGTGGACTTTTCCCAGTTTACAAATATCTCACGTAAGAGTGTACCTGACTAAGGTGACCTCATGCAGGTCTCATCATGTAGAGTTGGGGGAAGTTAGTGACGTTGTGAGAGCACCTGACATCACTGAAGGTGAATAGTGTGATCTCCATTTTTGTAACCGTTATACTAGATAAAAATGAGGAGCAAGTTGGAAAATTGCCTGTTGGAGAGTAAAAACATCCAGAATTCAAAGCTGCTTGTACTCCGATTTTTCTTTCCATTAACTATGCCCATGTTAAGCAAGGATTGAAAAAGGATATGCAAAAATGGACATAGTTAACGAGAGAATGTATTTAAAATGTTTTCCCTAAATAACTAATATTTCTTAAAATCCTAGTGCCTGATGAGTATGTACATCATCAGCTTTAATCCTTAAAATATCCATGCAAGTTTGTTATCAAAAGGAAAATATTAAAATGGGAATATGGTTTTTATTCTAACTGTATGATTCTGCAGGAGTCTGGTTTTGAAAATCATAATATTCTTGGTGAAATCTTGTTTTCTTGTGGCTTTTGAAACCATTAGTATTTTTTTTTAAAGAATAAAGAAGAAAATAAAAATATTCCGTAGCCTCATTTCATTAAAAATTTTAAAATAGAGGAGGGTGGAAGTATTTATGTTTTCAAAAACAGAAAAAGTAAAAGCTGCCTTCCCAAACCTTTCCTTGGAGTTGGCTGGCCACTGCCCGCATGCTGTGCATGTCGTCTAAAAGCATGTGGATAACACTCACTGTCCTTTACTGTTTGCTTGCTTCCCATGCAGTGAGGAACTGGATGAACTGCATTACCAGGACACAGATTCAGATGTGCCAGAGCAGAGGGACAGCAAGTGCAAGGTCAAGTGGACCCACGAGGAGGTGAGTGGCACTGTGACTCCATGGAGTTGGGGAGGAGAGGGTTAATGGTAGCTGGTGGCCTCCAGACCACTGAGTCAGGGGTGTCTGCCTGATGTGCCCCAGAGTGAAAGGTGCGGATGGGGCTGGCCGGTTAGCTCCCTAAGTTAGAGCGTGGCGTTGGTAACACCAAGGTCAAGGGTTTGGATCCCCATACTGGCCAGCTGCCCCCCCAAAAAAGGAAAAAAGCAGGTCGTCTGCTTCTACCCTGTGCCTCTTCTCAGAGTATTCTTGGAGACTCAATTCTTAGGATGGGGGGATATGTCTCTCAGACCTCAGGGCCAAAGATCACTGTTGTGTCTCTTGAGAAGCTGGCATGTTCTGCTTCCTGGACATTGATTGTACCTCTTGCCCTTTGACTGATAGGAGGTTGAGCCAAATCTGCAACCCTCTCTTTCTTTTCTTAAAAAATTAGTTATATTGAATCTTGGACTTCAAGCTCTAAAGTGATTTTCTGCTAACTATCTCTTTTTATTCTTTAGTCAACTTTGTATAATTTATATACAATCAAAAGCAGCTTTTAATTCTGTGACTTTGTGGGGGTTTTTTTTGGCAGGGATCAAACCCTCGACCTTGCTGTTATGGCACCATGCTCTAACCAACTGAGCTAACCAACCAGCCCCAAAGCACTTTTTTTTTTTTTTAAAAGATGACCGGTAAGGGGATCTCAACCCTTGGCTTGGTGTTGTCAGCACCACGCTCAGCCAGTGAGCAAACCGGCCATCCCTATATAGGATCCGAACCCGTGGCCTTGGAGTTATCAGCACCGCACTCTACCAAGTGAGCCACAGGCCGGCCCCCAAAAGCACTTTTTAAAGTGAACACTTTAATTAGTTTTGGCAAATGCATATACCCATGTAAGCACCACTCTTATTTATCCCAAAAAGTTCTCTTGAGGCTCTTTATGCTCATACAGATCAGGGAATCTCTGATCTAATGTCTTTCAGTCCATTAGTTTTGCTTGTTCTATTGAATGTCTTACAGACGAAATTATACACATGTATTCTTTTGTATCTGGATTATTTTGCTGAGAGTAATGTTGAGTAATTCAGTAATTCATCCGTTTTTATTGCTGAATAATGCAGTTGACCCTTGAATAGCATGGGTTTGGACTACATGCATCTATACGTGGATTTTTTTCAATAAATGCTGTACAGTACTGTAAATGTACTTTCTCTTCCTTATGATTTTCTTAATAACATTTTCTTTTCTCTAGTTTAATTTATTGTAAGAATATGAGAGATCTTCAACAAGTTCCTGGAAAGATTTATATTATCTTTTAATTCCATTTTTCCACAAACTTTTTGAAGCATCCTTGTACAGTACACAATACTCATACGTAATAACATACGAAATATGTGTTAATTGACTGTGTTATCTGTAAGGCTTGTGGTCAACAGTAGGCGGCTATTAGTAAAGTTTTGGGGGAAGTCAGAAGTTGTACTTGGATTTTTGGCTGTGCAGGGGTCAACGCCCCAAGCTCCATGTTATTCAAGGGTCAACTATTTCATTGCATGGGTATACCATAACATGTTTCACTTGTTGATGGGTGTGGGCTGTTTACAGTTTTTGGTTATTGCGCATAAGCACAGCCATGAAGACTCTTGAGTCTGTGAAGTCTTCTTGTGGATGTATGTTTTGATTTCTCTTGGGACAATACTTAGGTATGGTCAGGGGGTAGGTGTATGTTTAATTTTATAGAAACTGCCAGACCTTTTTCTAAATTGGGTGTACCATTTTAGAAACCTACTGGGGTGGGGGGGAGTAAAAAACATATAACATTAAATATACTCTTAACCATTTTTAAGTGTACAGTTCAATAGTATTAAGTATTTTCCCATTGTTGTACAGCAGATCTCTAGAACTTTTTCATTTTGAAAACCAAAACTATGGGGCCGGCCCATGGCTCACTCGGGTGAGTGTGGTTCTGATAACGCCAAGGCCACGGGTTCGGATCCCATATAGGGATGGCCAGTCAGCTCACTGGGTGAGCATGGTGCTGACAACACCAACTCAAGGGTTAAGATCCCCTTACTGGTCATCTTTTTAAAAAAAAAAAAAAAAGAAAGAAAGAAAACCGAAACTATACCCATTAAATACCAGTTCCCCCTCCCCCCTCCCCTCCAGCCCTTGGCAGCCACCTTTCAACTTTCTGTTTCTATGATTTTGACTATTTTAGATACTTCATTTAAATGGAATCATACAGTATTTGTCCTCTTGTGCCTGGCTTATTTCACTTAGCATAATGTCTTCTAGGTTCATCCATGTTCTTTTTTTTTAAAAAAAAAGACATCCATGTCTCCCCAGTTTAGGGTTGAGGAGGGGGTTTGAAGAGGAGATGAGGGAATGGAACATGGGAAATGAAACACAAGTGGGAGAGGGACGTGCAAGGAGTCAGGTGCAGTCTAGCCAAGACTTGTCTGATTTCTGCTCCTGTCCTTGTTATCTCATGGTTCTGCTGGAGGCGCAGCATCAACAAAGCTTTACTGGTGTCTTCCTTGGTTCCTCTTAGATAGTATGTAAGTCTGCAGCTCCAGGCTAGCTGGAAAACAACTTTACACTCATGTAAATAATGTCATCTTGCCCCTTAACCAAGATTCAAGATATCAAATAATCATGGGGAAAGAAGGAATTCAGAGAAATGAATGCCAAGGAAAAAAACTGTGTCCTTTTAAATTTTAAAATCTTATAGAGCCCATGTAGTTTTAGGTCCCAACATGGCTTCAATCCTGCTCACTCCCACACTTTATGTATAATCAACTGCAATTATTTGAAGTACAGTTCAGTGAGTTTTGACAGATGTATGTATATAGCCATGAAACTACCAGCATAGTCATGTTTTAGAACATTTCCATTGCCCCCAAAACATTTCTTGCTCCCCTTTGCTGTCCAACTCTCCTTCTACCACTGGTCTCAGACAACCATTTGACCACCTTTTTGTCCCTATAATTTAGTTTATGTTTTCTAGAATTTCATGTGCATGGAGTCATGCAGTGTGTACCCTTTTACATCTGGCTTCTATTACTCAACAATACTGAGAGTCGTGTTGTTGCACGCATCAGTATAACCGAACTGGGGTTCATTTGCCCAATGTGCAGTATTAGAGGAGGGGGCTAAAGTTTAATGCCCTCCAAATTGAGAAGGTACTTTGAGGAATAAGGCAGGCAGACCCATTCAGATATATACAAAGATATTTATTAATCAGGGTGATTTATACACAGGAAAGCTGGACACAGTGAAGAATCAGACATCAGCAGGCAAGCGCTCTGACTCCTGAGGTTAGACAGTGTTTATAAAGCAAAGCCCTAATTACTAGAAATAATTTCAAGGAAACATCTTAAGAAAAATAAGTTGATAACATCATTCACCAGATGTCTTTGTGATTCACAAGGTACGGGGTCTTATGATTTTGGTGCTCAGATCACTGATGCCATCTGCTGTAATAAATTATTCACTCCCTGAAACCTGTGTTTCTTTTCCAGCTTGCCCTAAGGTTTAAGTGCAGCAATGAAGTAAAGGAATGAGGTTATGCATGTAGAAGTCAGCATGGCAGGGGGGGGCACATAGTGGCTTTGGTTTTGTTTACCCTCTAACAATCAGCAAAACCAAGTGCTGAGACACCGATTTTGCAGAAGGGAAAGGCTTATTGCCAGGTGCCAAGCAAGGGGAGAAATCTTTCTCAAATCTGCCTTCCTGATGGCGGGTGGATGGGATATTTATGGGGGAATAATTGGAGGTGGTGTAAAGTGTGAGGGATGGTGATTGATTAGAGGGTTTAAGGAAGTCTTTTATTCATCTGCTCAGGCGCAAGCAAGCTTCGTGCCTCTTTATGGGTCACGTGTGTGGGAAAGGGCAGCACTGGCATATCCAAGGGAGGAGTTTTTGGCCCTCTGACGTCAAAAGTTCACCTAATGTGGGTGCAGTCACTAGGTTGGGGGTCAGAGCTGGTTACAGCTGGTCTGCTCCAAATGGGATCTCTTTGCTTCCTAAAAAAAAACCAACTTTGAGACTGAGTCATGCTTAAGTTTGGGAAGTTTAACTCCTTGGGGATTGGCTTCATCAGTAGCTCATTTTCAGGAGAATATTTTGACAGAAACTATCTTGCCTTCCAGCCACTCTTGATTCTGCTCACGTCTGCCCATCTCCAGTGCTGAATCACTGCTGGCTCTGGCCTGGGTGTGATATGGCCTCCCACATCCACTCTGCCCTTTTCCTACCCCTTTTCCACCATGCAGTAGCCAAAGGGAACTTTATAACAACCACACTGGGCCATGACTGCCTACTGCTCAAATGTATCATTGACTTTGCATGACATAGGTAAATCCTGCATGTGGTATGGCCCTTGTCACCCCCTCCAAAATCATCTTGTGTCTCTTTCTCCCCCTCTCCCCCTTCCTGCCTTTCCCTCCCTCCTTCTCTCTCTCTTCCTGTATTCTAGTGATACCGCATTTCCTTTGAACCTATCCTTTGGTCTCCCTAACAGGCAATCACCATGTACATCTCCATGTCCCCCAGCAGGGGGTGGCTTCACTTTTGTTCACATGAGCCTTTGATTAGCATCTGCCTCCCTTTAGACTGTAAGCCCCATGAGGTCAGGGCAGCTCTGTTGCTCCCTGCTGCTGTGACTGTAGTGTCTTGTGCACAGTGGGTGCTCACATCACGACTTTAGGGATGAACGAGCTGTTCTTTTTGGAGGGGGCTCCGTCAGAGGTGGCTGCAAGGCTTTCCACACGTGTGTGAGCTGAGCCCTCTGTCTTTCTGGCATTGGCAGGACGAGCAGCTGAGGGCACTGGTGAGGCAGTTTGGACAGCAAGACTGGAAGTTCCTGGCCAGCCACTTTCCTGTGAGTACACCCCCTCTGCAACCCCTCCCCCAGGGGTAAGGGTTCTGGGTGACCAGACAGTGTACCTGAGACAGACTTTCTGCCGATGAGAAGAAAAGGGAGTTCTTACCAAGCCCCCCTCCCCTTTCCAAGAACAACCTTTGTAGGACCTTTCTTCCCAAACCAGAGTTTAAGGTATCTCCACCAGCTGCCTCTGCATGCCTGGGAGTCTTTAGGCTCTGCAATGTTTGCAGCATGTGATCAGTGGCATTTTGCATTTCTTCTTGCAAATCAGGAGTGAATGGGTGCTCGGTTTCTCAGTAGTGAGACTGATACTGAGGGGAACCGGCACTTTGAGCAGACTCCAAAGTGAGGCCCCTGCAGAGCTGTCTGGCGTCACCATGTCTGAGCATTTAGAGCCTCCTGCTGATGAGGCCCCCCTTGGGCCCCCACCCCCAGGACTTGCAGGTGTCTGGGAGGGAGAGCGTGGCAGGAGCTGTTGTCCAGCTTATTGCCTATATCTCTCGGACATCTCAGGGACTGAATCAATGGATCCCTTTTTGTCCTGTTTCTTCATCTACCCTTTTCCATGTAATCTGAACTTTTCAGGGAGTAAAAACACTCTCCAGGAGAAAACAAGGATCCCTGACATACCCCACAAGGCTTTTATAGGGTTTAAAGGCTCATGGTGGCGGCCCTCAGTGTTTGGGTGGTGGGAAGTGGCTTCCCACAGGGGCCTGAGTTTGCCCTCTTGTAGCAAAGGGAAACCATCTGTGTTCTGGAGTGTGGGCGTGTTGTGTGTGTGTGTGTGTGTGTGTGTGTGTGTGTGTGTGTGTGTGTGTGTGTGTGTAGGTAGGTGCTTGGAGCAGGACATCGCCTACACTCATTGCTCAACCAGGGTTCAAGTTTACAATCCCAGAAGTTCTTACAGATTCCTGTTTGTTCTTCCTATTCTTTTCCCAGAACCGCACTGACCAGCAATGCCAGTACAGGTGGCTGAGAGTTTTGAATCCAGACCTTGTCAAGGGGCCATGGACCAAAGAGGAAGACCAAAAGGTAACTGCTGGGACAGTGCCTCGCACACGGTGGGCCTTCACCCCCAACAGTGAATCCAGGAGCTGTGAGGCTGCCCTTGTGCTGGCAAAGTGCCACGCTGAACACTGGGTGGGAGTCGTCCCAAGGACTATTCAGGACATCCTCACGCTGCCCTAGCTCTTGCCCTTAGGTTCCGAGTCTGAGCGTTTCTTGGCCTCCCCAGTCATGAGCTGAGGGCTGCTGGGCAAATTAGCCAGCTTCTCTTTCCCCATCCATAAAGGAGAATAGTAATAGTGCCTGCTGCGTAGAGGTGTCGTGAGGATTAAATGGGCGATGCATGTAAAGGGGTTTGCCTGGTCCCGGCATGTGGCATGCTCAGCAAATGGCCGCTGCTGTTACCCTTTGTTATAACAATGATTGTACCATGTGAGGTTCTGATGAAACACAGAGCCTCGCATGGGCCTTATTTCCTGTGGTTGGTTCCAGTAGCAGACCTGTGAGGTGGGCAGAAGATTTGTTAGTCCTGTTTTATAGGCAGGGAGACCGAGGCCCGCAGAGGCCTGGGAATACCCCTAAGCTACGAAGAGGCAGTGCCATGACTACCCTGGGCTTCCACTTGGCTGTCCTCCCTGATGTCAGCTCAGAGGACACCATTCCACTGTGGCAGGCACAGTCCAGGGAAAAGAGGGAGGCAAAGGGACCTAGATATTTTTAAATCAGTTTTAAAATACTTCAGTTTTTTAAAATTCAAAGTGATACGTCGTTGCTGGAATATTTCCTTACCAAAATCTTTTTGCCCAGAAATGTCTGTTCTTCCTTGTTTGCTGTGGCCTGTATGCATGTGAGAATATGTATGTCCAGAGTTCAGGAGAGGGATCTGACCTGGCTCAGGTGGCTGCAGATGTTGTGGTTTATGTTCTGAGCAAAGGGGCCTGGCTGAGAGGTCAAATGGGGACTGAAATCCGGCCCTAGTTAGACCGTCAAGCCTGGCACCATGGCTCAGGGCTCTACCCTCCAGATTTCCACAAAAGTGCTGGAGGAGCTCATGGCATCCTGGGATGTGGCTGGGAGTAGGAAGGTCTATCCCCCATCCGTAGTTCACATGGCCCGGCTGTGGGGAGTGAGCCTTAGTTAACCTGAGTTTGGACCCCTGTGATCAGGTCCCTCTCATCCCTCTGCCCTTTTCTACTTAGTGAGTTGACTAGGTGGAGCCCTGAAGAGCGAGGCAGGACCTCAACTCCCTTTTCTTTGATTGACGTCCACTCTAGAAAGAGTCTCTGGTACTTTTGGCCTGTATTTATTCTGGGCAATAAATGACAAGGACACGGTATCATCCTTCAGCAGATGCCTGTGGAATGCACAAGGTCATCCTCTGAGCAGGTCCCCAACAACCACCATAGTGACTCCCATGTTGTGCGAAGGGGTGCGGTTGGTGGCACCTCTCAGGTGCTGTGGTGTGAGTGAGGGAGAGCAGGTCCCACTGGCTTCACAGAGGCTTTTCTCCAAGGTCATTGAACTGGTCAAGAAGTACGGCACGAAGCAGTGGACACTGATTGCCAAGCACCTGAAGGGCCGACTGGGGAAGCAGTGTCGTGAGCGTTGGCACAACCACCTCAACCCCGAGGTGAAGAAGTCCTGCTGGACCGAGGAGGAGGATCGCATCATCTGTGAGGCCCACAAGGTGCTGGGCAACCGCTGGGCCGAGATCGCCAAGATGCTGCCTGGGAGGTGAGCTGCCTTCTTAGGGCTTGTGGGGGGCTAAGGCAGGCGGGATGGTATTCCCAGGAGATGAAGGCCATTCTCATGATGGAGGAGAGTCCCTGAGGATACTGTGATCATGTCCTCTTATCCCTAACCCCCAGCTTCTGGTCCAGGGCCCCCAGAGACATGTGTAGTCAGAGGAAGGATAGAGTCCCCCAAGAAGGCCCTGACCTCCGTCAGCTTAAAAGGACAGACAGTGCCCACAGAGGCCTCAGCCAGAAATCAGCAGGCCTGGCGTCTAGCTCTCCCCCTGTTCCCAGTTTGCTGTCTTCTTGGTCAGCCTCTTCCTCTTCTGGACCTCAGTTTCTTCTTCAGCTGATATAAAATGGGCTGGTATGGTGTGAACTGGCTTTCTTTAAGATAAAAAAAAAGGACAAAATTCAAGTAATGCTATAACCTACTAAAAGCATTATAATGAAAAGCATCAGTCCCCTGTCTCCACTTTCTACTAAAAGAAAAACTCATCTTTTTTTTTAGCTCTTCTGGTATTTACCTCCATATTTGTAAATGATGTGTTTTCTTATATTTTGGTTTTATGCTACAGGACAAGATTTAGCTTTCTTAGACTTTCCTGTTCCCCATACCTTCCTATTGTCCCAATATAGTGCCATAATTTTTAGTTAAAACAGCAGTGTGTTACAGTATTATTACCTTATAAATATAACTCAATGCTAGAACTACTAACTTATCTGGGATTAAATTTCCTTCTTATCTGACGTTTGTCTTTCCTGGAATTAATAATTGCTTTCTTTTTTCATTCACACAGTTTTCAATATAGCTCTTAATTTTTTGTCAGTGGCCTATCACATTCTCAGAGCATCCATCAGTGCTATTTTCTGAATACTCAGAACAAATCATGCAGTATACTTGGCTCTATTTTTTCTTTGGGGAATAAATCCTGGAGACCTCTGTCCTTTTCTGTTCTGCCAGTTGCTTTTTAGGTCTGTTGCCCTGTTGTCACCTTGGAGCATTCCTTCACCCTTCTCATGTGTTGGATCCCTCTTCTTTCTTGGTTTTCTTCCTTGTTTTCGTGGCACACATCTTTATTAGCATCCTGAGATCAGTGCATGGGAGGTAAATTTTGGGTAACTGCACGTCATCTACATTCTACCTCACTTTTGGTTGATAATTTGGATAGATATAGACTTTGAGTTTGAAAATAATTTTTATTCAGAATATTGAAAGCATTCCAGGGTCTTTTCTTCTTCCTCCTATTTTTCATCTCTTTTGTTTTACTTTCTGGGAGATTTCTTTGACCTTACTTTCCAACCCTTCTTTGGAAATTATTTTGACTGAAAGGTTTTACTTTCTAAGGGCTTCTTCATTTTTCTGGCACCCTATTCTTTCTTTTTGGTTCTAACAGCTTATTTCTCCATCAATATTATGTTTTTTGAAAATATCTCTCCCCTCCTGCATTATCTCTGTCTCTTCTGTGTTTGCTTGTTTTGCTGGTTCCATTTTATATTTGAGGCTTCCTTTGGAGATCTGCTGATCCTTGGCTGTCTGTTCAGCTTTAGGAGCAAGACCCTCTGCCCTCTTTGGCCTATCAGTCTGTGAGAGGTGAACAGGGCTTGTGTTGGAAGTCAGTGTGAGACTCAGGATGGTGTCAGCAGCCAGTGGTTTTCTCATGGTTTCTACACACACAAACTGGGCAGGGAAGGGTTTATTAGTCCGTTTAATGTCACTGATAACAGAATACCTGAAACTGGGTAATTTATAAGAAAATGAAATTTATTTCTTAGTTTTGGAGGCTGGGCAGTCCAAGGTGCAGGAGGCTCATCTGGTGAGGGCCTTCTTGGTGGGGGAATCTCAGCAGAATTCTGTGGTGACACTGGCAGTCACATGGTGAGAATGGCAGGAACACATAAACACGCTCTCTTGTTCTCCTTATAAAGCCACGGTGCCACTCCTGTGATAACCCACTAAACCATTGACTCACTAACCCGTGAATGAATTAATTCATTCACAAGGGCGTAGTCCTCACAGTCTAGTTACCTCTTAAAGACTCTGCCTTTCAAATACCATAGTCAGATTTCACACCCTCTAAACATGGTTGCAAGCTCCAATACATGAGCTTTTGGGGGACACATTCAAACCATAGCAAAGGGGATGAGAGTTGAAACACATATCTTCAGTTTTAGTTTTTGCCATTTGCTATTTCACAGAGATGTTTGGGAATGCTTTATAAATTAAGGGCCTACTGGCTAGCCACATACAAAAAAAAAAATCATTAAGAGCTGGAAACACATGAGACTTCATCTTAGAGATGAAAGAGACCTTAGAAGACATCCTTTATTTACAGAAGTGGGAACTCAGCTCAGGGAGGTTATGGATGTGCCAGGTGGTACACTGGCTGCTGAGCTGGGATTCACAGGTCTCCATTTGCCCCTGCAGGACGGATAATGCTGTGAAGAACCACTGGAACTCTACCATCAAAAGGAAAGTGGATACGGGAGGCTTCCTGAGCGAGTCCAAAGACTGCAAGCCCCCCGTGTACTTGCTGCTGGAGCTCGAGGACAAGGATGGCCATCAGAGTGCCCAGCCTGCAGAAGGCCAGGTGAGATGGCTGAGATAGCTCAGCTGCTGGGCTTGACTCCGGGTTGGGTTGTTTTGAGTTTGTTTATTCAACACCATCTCATTGAACAGCTTACTCACACCTGTTAGTTTCTGCCACAGGATCTGAATGCAGGCTGCGTGTTTCTAGGGCCTTTCCTTGTGACCCACTTCTGCACAGAACTGGCACTTGTCTGCCCCCAGGTGAAGGGTAACAGAGTGAGTGACATAACATTGAGAATTGGGTTGAAGAGGTCCTCAACTCCTTTTGTTCTTGTCAGCAGTTTTCTTCTTACTTGTTTCTCTTTCCAGTCTTTTAAAAACGAAAGCATGTTTGCCATTAAAAAAAATTCTATCAGATTTATTGAGGTATAATTTATATATTGTGTTTAGTGTGCAGTTTTGAGTAATGACAAAAGTATATGTTTGTGTAACCACCACCACAGTCAAGATTCCCATCACCCCCAAATTCCCTGTGCTCCTTTTATTCAGCCTTTTTCCTACCCTTAGTTCCTAGCACCTGGATCGGTTTCCTGTCTCTATAATTTTGCCTTTTCTAGTAAGTCAAATAAAAGAAATCATATAGTATCACATTTGCAATTTGACTTATTTATTTTGATTAATATTGTTACATTTGCAATTTTAAAATTTAAAATATATGCATATGTTAACATCCCCTGTTCTTTTTTTTTTTTTTTTTTTCCTTTTTGTCTTTTTCTGTGTCCGGCAACGGATCGCAACCCTCAGTGTCGCCCCCGTACCGGACCGGGACCAGCAACGGGATCGCAACCCTCGGTGTTGCTCCCACGCCTCGCTCAGCCAGTGAGCAGGAACCGGTCTGTATGTGGGATCCGAACCCTCGGCGGGAGCGCCGCCACACTTCCCAAGCGGCGCACTATAGCAGTGTGCCACCGGGCCGGCCCAACATCCCCTGTTCTACACCCCACAGCAAACTTTTTATTTATATTTTTAAACTATATCTCTGGTAATTTATTCCTTAAAAATAAGGATTTGAAGCAAATGTGACAAAGTACTAAGATTTGACAGTGCTGGGTACACGGTGGGCAATATAGTTGTCTTCAATACTGTTGTCCAGTCTTTTTTGTAATTGTGAACTATTTGAGAAAAAAATTTCCCTCTTCCCTCTTCCTACTGGCTAGAGATAAATTGTTCATGGATCCCATTCCTCCACAATGCCCTGCTTGTGGGTTATATGTTTTTGCCTCTTGTTTCTTGATTTTTTTTTTTTTTCCTTTTTTTTTTTTTTTGTGTCCGGCAACGGATCGCAACCCTCAGTGTCGCCCCCGTACCGGACCGGGACCAGCAATGGGATCGCAACCGTCGGTGTTGCTCCCACGCCTCGCTCAACCAGTGAGCAGGAACCGGTCTGTATGTGGGATCCGAACCCTCGGCGGGAGCGCCTCCACACTTCCCAAGCGGCGCACTATAGCAGTGCGCCACCGGGCCGGCCCTTGTTTCTTGATTTTTTTTTTTTTTC